GTCATATTTTGGCAGTACCATATTTTACACATGGTAGTATTTTCCGAACATGACAGTAATTACTAATATTCAGAAAATAAACACATGACAGTCCTATTTTAAAATTCTCAAAAAAAAAATACTCCTATTTCAGGAATTCTCCTTACAACTATCTAATAAAGGTTATAAAATAAAGATGAAATTCACCTTCATATTATTTGAATTGCATATTTGGACAAAAGTAACAACACACATATCACAAAAGAACATTGTGAAGTGAAATCATAAATAATTGCTTTATAATCAATCTTTTCCAAGATCACATGTGCAATGTTTAACATTGCTAATCCATTAAGTTTTTTGAGGCATCATTGATAATTGGGATGATGTTTGAGAATTGGGAGGCACCAGCAGCCCAAAGACATTAATATAAATTGGTAATTTTATAATTAAAAGAATAAAAAATCTTAAAGGCTAAAAAGTTGTGAAGAGACGTGCTTTTATTGATTCAACAACAAATGTGTTGACTTACAACCAACTCTATTTAAAAATCAAAACTAAATTTATATTCTTTTTAAAAACTTGTCTAGCTTTGTTCAAGACTTTTTACTTATGTTTTAAAATTCTCAAATTGTCAACAAAAATGAAAAATTACACATTAGACCTAATTAATTAATTGAAATTATAATTAAAAAAAGTTGGGCCTAATTTTCTTTTTACTTTTTTTCGGGCCTAGGGCGATCGCCCCTGCTGCCCTCCCCCTAGGACCGGCCATGCCCCTGCATGATGCATCTTTCCCTCTTAACTTTAATTTTGAGTTCCGCGATGAAAAGGGGCAAGAGTCACAGAGAGATGAGGTATAGAAATTGGAGTGGTTCTCTTTCGTTTTCATCGAAGTCTCAAAACACCAAGCTTCCAGAAACCGGCCTCTACCTTCATTTGTTTCAAACCGTTGGTCTTTGTAGCTATAATTTCATAGATTAGAAGTTCACTTCTTATAATTTAATACGGAGTATATATGAGTTAATGAATTATTTATTCAAATTGTCATCTAATATCTAATATTCATTCCATATATACAGTTCAAAAAAAAAGTATTTTGGTTTTGTTCTCAATAAAAAAAGAGTGAAGGGAAGAATGATAAAGCAGAAGCAAAATAGGGAGTAAAAGGAAAAGGAGACAGAAACAAAAGAAAAAAAACAAGCGGGACTGATAGAAAATGCAAAAAAAAAAAAAAAAAAACACAAAATAAAGAAACGAAAGAGAAAACGAAATGAAAAGGAAAAAGGAAAATGTTTCTGACCAGACTGACCTGCTATTGCAGGTTGCTTTCAGGTTATAATCCCTCTTTGATTGTTTTCGGGTAGTCCATGTATCTACGGAGTATTTGATATTCTGTCCGTCCCTTAAAAGTTGGTCACTAATTTTCTCACTTTTCTTTTTAAGTAAAGAATTGTTCTTTCAGTTGATTTTCTCTCCTCTGCACAAATCTCAACCACACAGTTCTTACTTTATTAATTCATGTATCTGTCAAAATTGGCAAAGTTTCAAGGGATAGAGGAAGTAGTTTTTTAGTAAATGAACTTAAGTGATCATTTTGCAATAGTATAAGGTCTTATTCGATGCCTTTTCCAAGACTAAAAATAAAACAAAAGAAACTTAAGTTATTTTGGAACGATAGTGGTAATCTCCGTCTGATTAGTTGGTTTCTTAAGAGAAGATAACTTATTTATTAATAGTGAAAGTAACAAGAGATAAAGCAATACAATAACTCAAGGGTACTATGAGATGAGACGTAGAATCGATTAACCCTTAAGGATCAATCATATTCGCTGACCCCGCAACAATGTAGACGAACCACTAATCCAATAACACGGCTGAAATAATTGCTACCAAAATGGGATTTAACTAAACAAAACTTATTCAAATAAAAGCAACAAAATAATTCAAGCATCTCGGTTTTACCATCCACTAGGAAGGGGGAAGAGGGTTGTTTATCCACCTCCAACGGAAGCATCTCGAATTTACTAGCCACCGCGAAAAGATAGATATTTGACCAGTCACCTCCAAATGAATCATCTCGTTTATCAATATTTTAGGCGGTGTTGTTCCAGAAGCACCGTCGTCTCGCTGTCTTTTATTCCTCTAGGGCACCTGACTCAAACACCAGACTAATGCTCTCTCTCCATCCTCAACTGGCATCCTTCCAAAAGCTAGGTTTAAGCTCTCCATTAATGGCCAACAAAATGAGCATCGGATCCAAGACAAAGGAAAAGAAGCAACAAAACACACGATCAAAAGCCCAAACACATTAATAATCATTAATAATTGGAACGGACCAAACTTTCACCAGAGAAAACTCTGCCGGACAAAACAACACCGGAAAAAACCTAAGAGTGAAGAAAAACCAATAAAGCACCCCTAAATTACATATGAAGCTCACAAAACACCGAATGAAGTTGATGTGACTTGTTAGGGGGTGTTTGGATCTGATTCTTAAAACTGATTCTGCTCCTTCAAGGAGCAGAAGCAGAAGCTGGAGTGTTTGGGTGAAATTCCAGAAGCACTTCTGGTGCTCTAATTTACTCCCCAGAATCAGTTTTTTTAGAAGCTGGGGGGTATCAGCTTCTGAAAACTGATTCTGATTCTGCTTCTGCTTTAAAAAAGAAGCAGAAGTAGAATCAGTTCCAAACACCCCCTTAATTTGATGTCCGGCCATACACACGCTCCAATCTTCTCCGTCTATTTAGTTGGAACGGAGGTAGTATTTGGTTGGGGGGGGGGGGGGGGACGAATCTACTTTTTCTCGCTGTGGGAAAAAGTAGGATGAGAGAGAAAAGCGAATTTTTTTAATGAACTAAGGATCAGATTGATATTCGAAGTTGCAAAAAAAGGGTCAAATAAGTCCTTATATAGGAGGCTCTGTCCACCCATTGCCATTTGAGGCGGTTACCGATTTTGGAATTTTTTGACATAATTTTTTGAGCATTTTATTTATTAAGTCTAGTTTACTCATACCGAATTTCAGCTAAAAATTCAACCGGGAAGGCATTCAAATGAATTCTTGAAGATAACTGCGCAGTTAAAAGCGCAGATATCTTCAAGAATTCATTTGAATGCCTTCCCGATTGAAGTTTTAGCTGAAATTTGGTATGAGTAAACTAGACTTAATGAATAAGATACTAAAAAAAATCATCAAAAAATTCCACCGGGAACCGTCCCAAATGGCGACGGCCGGACAATAAGGACTTATTGACCCTTTTATGCAACTTCGAGTATCAATGTGACTCTTACCACATTTTTTAATACTGAAATGATAAAAATTAATAAAACTCGCGTGGGGGGATTCGATGTCCGTTTGCCCGGCAACCTCACACAATGGACGACCAATTACCAATGCTCCCAGTACATTCATAAGGCACTCTGAGTCTCTGACTAATATTATATTTTTTAAAGAGTTTTTGCCACTTTTAGTCATTCGACTATCATGTCACTGACACTTTTGGTACTCGACTTTGAATTTTCCATTTTTAGTTCTCCGATTATTATGTCATTGACACTTTTGGTACTCGACTTAAAGTGTTTCCACATTTAATCCTTCGACTTTCATAAATTTGACACTCTTGGTCCTTCAACTATTATAATAGTGGCATTTTATATTTTTCATTTCAAAACAAAAAAAAAATCGAAAAAAGGCACAGAAGAAAACCTTGGTTTTGTACATCTGAGTCTTCTTTTTTTTCAAAACAAATTTTGTTCCCTTTCTAATCATTTATGTTTTTCAATTTAGTCCTCCATTTATTGTGTCGAATTCATGATGGACGGACTAAAAGTGTCAATTTTATAATACTCAGGAACTAAATGTGGAAAACATTGAAGTCGAGGACTAAAAGTGTCTATCGCACAATAGTCGAGGACTAAATATGGAAAAATTGAAAGTCAAGTACCAAAAGTGTCACTGACCCAATAGTCGAGGGACTGAAAATGGAAAAAACTCGGGTTGGTTCGATCAAAACTGATATTTTGTGTATATAAATCGATTTCGAACCAATTTTGTAGGGTCTTGATTTTCAAGTCCCAAAATTTATCAGTTCGGTCCGGTTCAGTTTTTTTTCCCAATGTGGTTCCCTTATTTTCGGTTTGGTTTTCGGTTTTTCTTCTGTTCAAAATGTCACCCCTAATAGTGACAACACACTTTGTGCCGGAAAGTGTGAAAGGGTTTTTGGGTGGAAACTGAATAATTTTATGGAAAAAGCTAAAAGGTGATCAAATCGGCCAAAAAGTGTCTGATAGCCTCCTAACCAAACACCCCCTTTGTCTAGAACTGAGCCTGAGGGTGTGCGGTAATGATGTCTTTGCATTCAAGAAGAATACAATTGTAGAGTTGTTGTCCCTAGCAAAGAAGTAAGCTTTTTTGGTGTACATATTATTTCAAATAAATGAAAGACCTTTTGTGTTCTGTACATTTCAGACAATGAAACATATGAACGAAGTGATTTATTTGTGTTCTGCTCAGGATCTCATGTTCCTATGATGAAGCAACAAAATACTACAATGATCACTAGCAATACATTTTTTACAATTTTTTCATAAGTCATCAGATTTAGTCAAATTACTGTTTGAATCAGAGTTTCACCGAGTTCAACAGATTCGATTCAGCTGAGGATACTTCTGGAATCGTATCATCAAATGAATAGACTACATTGGCTAATATTTCAATTCAGCTCATTTAGTTCATGTTCAGCTCACTTAAACCTTTTATCGAAATAAAGTTACATTACAAGTAATTGAAGGAAGCTAAAATATCTCAACCTTGATCGATTGAAGGAAGCTAAAATATCTCAACATTGAAGGAGCTCGTTATCAAACAAGCTCCTAATGCATCTATTGTGTGTTTTGAACTTTTGATTGTATGGGTGGAGTTTTGACACACCAATACAGAGTGAGACAGACTAATTGTGGGCGAATTATTTACCCTTGGAAGTTGGAGAAGTTCTGAGTTTCTGCATATTGCTAAAAATTAAAATTCCCAAAGACGGTTTATATACTACTCCATGTTTTTGTATCATACAGATGCAGTCATGAATCAGAGAAAATGCAAAGCACTTGCCTAGTTGTATCACTCAAAGATTTTAACGAATGTAAACATCACACACCAATACAGAGTGATAATGCACCAAACTAATTGTAACACTAACAAAAGAAACCAACCAATTAAATTGTAATTAATCCCAATTAAATCCCTAAGAAATTGGGTACAGTGAACTATACTTTTAGACATGATGAATATTCCATTTCACTGTCTAATTTAATAGCTAAGTAGATGAAAAGTAAATGAAAGATTGAGACAATGGTAAGAGATGATAGTGATGAAATGAAATGGTAAGCTGGAGAGGAAGACCAGGCTAGTATGGCATTTGCCCACAAGATTATTCCAATTGCAAGAGATTCCCGGCAATGTTTTGAGCAAAGGCAACTTCGGATGATTTGCAAATACGGGGAGTAAAGTCAGCAAGCCCCCTAACTCGAAATTCCTTCCAAACGGGGTTTGTCCCAAACTTATCCAACAAAACCCAAAGAGAAAGAGTTCCCTTCAGCACTAACAATACGATTTCCCCAGCTGGAGTAGCAGTAATAAAAGTCTGGGGAACACTGCTTGCCTCCGATGGAAAGGGGAAAGCCTGCTTCTTCCAGCTAGATGGGGATTTCGCTGCGGTCTCCAAGCTCCAAGCGATAACCTGCTTGTTCTGGTGGACATACATGACAGCAAACCGCCCGTCCAACTCTACCCACGAGGTCCTTCCGAAGGATTCGTATGTGGCTGGAAGAGCTATCGAGTGGAAACTCTCAGACCTAATGTCGAATGCCACCAGCTTGGAGCATCTGCCGGGGGAAGACATCTCATTGTAGGAATAGATCACACCGTCTATGCAAACACTATTTGTGAAATATCTGATAATGTAAAACAATAAAGGGCTCCTAATCCTCCGCCACATTTCATCCACGCCCAGTGTGAACACCCAATACTTCACTGTCCTCTTTGTTTCTGCCTTCAAAACCTTGTATGTTCCCGAAACGCCGTCGTAACCCAAGAGTGCACAAGAATGCCTGCTGCTGGACGGAGTTGGCGGGAGAGTAGTATGTTGTCCTGTTATAAGGTTAACAACAATCCATTCTGAATGCTTGTTGAAGAAACATGTTTGATCTTTGGCAAAAGAAACACAACTGCCATATTCGAACCATCCCTTGTTCGAATTGCAAACAATTTTTGCCTGAAGGAGCTTTCCGGCTTGATTTTGTTCATAAATTATGGTGTAAAACTGCTCTGACATGGGATTGGATACGGGACACCTGATTAATGGGTGATCATGAACCGGCATAAACCAAGTCTGAATAGAGAAGAGAATGGTTGTGCCGTGGTTACGAGCCGCTGACCAATTTCTCTGAAACTCAGCGAAACTTGGATCGGTCGATATGGAACGGAAACATTTAGAAACGCAGCTTAGCTTTCCCCGAGATTTAGCGCCAAGTCGAACCAGAATCTGGAAAAGGATGTCTCGGTGAAGCATCTGTAAGAGACCTCCATGGCCATGGATTAAAGTTGTAGTTGGAAGATGCGTTCCGTATTCGGAAGGAGCTTCACTCATGTTTTCAGGCCTGCTCGTCTTCCGTGGTTGTTGATTAGTTAGGACGACGATGTACTGCGCCTGTTTATTCACTAGGTTTTATGAGTGTTTTACTCTTTGTTGAAGCTTATTAACCCTTGTGAGTTGTGACTAAACTTTTTATGAAACGGCTCATCTTTTAATATGACCGACATCACAATTAATCCTGCAGTCCAAAGTGACTCCGGGCAAAGTGACTCCGACCAAAGTGATCCCACCGACCACAGTGACTGCCCCGCCGATCACAATGACTGCCCCGCCGGTCACAGTGACTGCTCCGCCGGTCTCAGATACTGCCTCGCCGCCACAGTGACTCCGCCGCCACAGTGACTCCCACCATATTGACTACCTGGCTACCGCCACAATGACCGTCAAAATGACACTTGCCAGCACCGCTGAATTACTGCCGCCGCACCGCCCAATTACCTCCGTCGGCCACCGCCTCCGGCAGCCACCAACTCCGGCCAACGACTGCAACCACCACACCCAGCCCCCTCCTCTGCCTCACCAAGCCCCATCCCTTGCCTCACCCACCCCCCTTTCCACAGCCCCCAGCCCCAGCGGAAAGCCCCCTCCCCTGCCTCTCCCAGCCCTCTTTCCACAGCCCCCAGCGCTCGCGGGCAGCCCATAGACTCTTCTCTAGCAGGCTAGCCCACCTCCATAGCCACCAGTCGCCCAGATCTGAAACCACGAAGCAATGGCCAAGCAGCGACAGCCAAGCAGCGGAGGAAGAGGCGGTCTGGCTGTTCAGGCCCCTCTTCGACTTCAAGGACGGTGGATCCGACAGATCCGAGCCTCGTCCACCGACGTTGGAGGTTCCGGAGCCGGCTGCGAGAAGAAAGACGAAGAAGAGAATCGAAATGGAGGACAAGCGGCGTCTGCTGGTGGAGGTGGCGAGCTATTTTATCTTTGGTGGTGCCCTGGTGGATGTGTGGATCTGGAGAGCTTCTCACGCGATGGAGAAGACGATTCTCATGCGGATGCAGAAAACATATCTCACGCGGAGAAGAGTGTAGTGCGGTGCGGGTCAGTTTTTTTGGAAAAAATGGGAGTGGTCATATTTTTAGAAATTGAAACCTAGGGAGTAACATTTCGGCAATTATTTCTTAAGTTTTCTGATTAAATTGACTTAAGTTACCGTAAATAATACACTTATATATTAAACAACACAACATTGATGTCTAGAAAATTTCCACAATGTATCGGTCGCCATTCTGACACCGCCGCCACCCGAGCTGCCCTATCACTGAACTGCCTTGCTATCAACGGATTGACCCGACTATGTAAGGGAACTAGGGCAAGCAATTATATTGATTAGATTAGGGGTATTAAGGTAGAAAATGAATGTTTTGTCCTCTTTATGAAAAAGATTTAGCTTGAACTCTTATTTGTGCAATTATGTATTTCTTAGCCGTCCGTATCTATAACAATTTCTCTAAAAATTAGACGGATTGACATTAACAAGAACTACATAAATATATAGAGATGATGTTTAAGAAACAAATAAAAGTCTTTAGTTGCTTAGAATAAAGGTGGCTCTATTTGGGCGAATTGGGTGTAAATAATGATCAATAGCAGGAAATGGAGATAACTGTTCAATGTTTTGTCACAGAAGTTTGTCACGAATTTTGTCCGTGACAAAATTGTGTCACGGATATGTACAACATCACATGGAAAATATTTGTCATGGAACAAATCCGTGACAAATGTTGTCACGAACATTGACATGACAACAGCCGTGACAGGTCATGGAACTAATAGTACTAATTTAATTACATTGTTAGTTAATTAAAATGTCTATAAACATATATGACGGAGTAACGGGACTCGGCCCAGAGTCTAATCGGCCCAAGTCCCGAACATGGACCCGTGGATCCAAGTTCACAATTTGGAGCCTGCCTACCAGTCCAGCGGGGAGCCTGCCAGTCCGACCGATCTGCCAGCTAGGAAAAGTAACTACCAAGCAATTAATGCGATATTTAATTATGTATTTAATTTCATATTAATGTTGTAATTAATTAGTCATTATTATCGATAGCGGTTACGATTTGTATACGCCTATAAAAGACAGCTTGTAAATCAAATTAGGGAAGGGAATCTCATATGTTATTTCTGGCTATCAAACTTTATAGCTACTTTCCATATTCGTATTGCTTTCCTGATTTCTGCTTGAGTGTTCTAACGTAGCTTTCCTAAAAGCTTACGAGCGTCCTATTTTGGACCAACAATATACATCTATATATATTAAAATGGAAAAGTGTGGGGGGAGTTTGGGGGGGAATTTGGGCGGCATTATGCATTCAAAATTCAAAAATTGTGCAATGATATTATGTGCTGGCTACGATAACAATAAATGGGCAGAAAGGTGTTAAGCCGAGATTAGGAAAAGGTGTTTAGGAAAACGTGTGATATTAAACATGTGAGTCATTTAAGGTGGCTTTTGGTCTTCACAATGTGTAATTAGTAGTAACCGGTTGTTTAAATAAAAGGTGGGGTTATATGAAAAGTTTTTTTATTTTGAAAGTGCCTTTTGAACTTTAAAAAAAACGTGCAGACTGAGAACATTAAATAGGTTTGAAATTTATTCTATAAATAGGGACCTCAACATCTTTACATCCCAGCATAGGCGCATAGCAAATAGAGACGAAGGCATCACATGAGTTCAATATTTGCGGAAAAATGGCGGGTATGTTTGGTTTGATTCGGGATGTATCTCCTCAATCTGGGATTTGGGGTTTAAGACTAAGGCTGGTGCAGATGTATTACTCACAAAGTGAAGACGGCAAATTTAGGAGCCTGGAGTGTGTGTTTCATAACAAGGAGGTAGATATTTGCTATATTTACATTTTGTTATGTTGTCCTCACTGCAGCACTTGATGTACATGTAACAACGAGCTTAAATTGATGTATATAGATTGTAAGGCAGCTTTTGAAAGATAATTGGTTGAAAATGTTATAAAATGTTTAGATAAAATAATTGGCACTTGACGTACATGTCTAGCAGAGAGTCTAAAACTGTTTAGATAAAATAAATGATATATTGAAAAATAGATAGTAGATATTTCAAAACGACTATTTTCTTGAATATAGATTGTAAGGCAATTTTTGACAAAAAAATTGGATGCAATGAAAGAGGGGGAGGTTTATGCAATTGGCAATTTGGTGGTGGCATATGATGAGATTTACATTCGTAGAAGAGGATATGATGAGATTTTAATGTTCTGTCCTCCTGATGGACCTTTTATTTTGGGCGAGGTTGTCATTATTTCAAACGACGACATCATGATTGAGGGTTTAGAATCAAATTTTGATAGGCTAAATAATCAAATTTTGTGGCTGAATTTGATTTCTTAAAATTAAAAATAGTTCAAATGTATAATGTAAAGGTGGACATAAACTCGAGGAAGTGGTATCTTCTAGGAACCACTGAATCATTTATTTGTTGATGATCGATAGCAACAATCGATGAGAAACGAACCTACACGCCGACGATCGACGTGGAATAAATTGCTCGCGAACCAGTAATGAGGGCTATCTTTGTGAGCAACGATGTATGAGGATGAAGGAAGCGATTAAAAACAAATTGTTGTGATGTTGGCATACTAAATTCAAGTTATCTGTATCCAAAATGAGAAAAATGATTCTATTTGTTTATTAGTCTTCAAAAGTATTGTATAATGTATTACTTTGACACAAAAGAATTGATATGTTAGTTTTTAGATTACCATCTTCAAATCTTATTTATTTTGCTATCAGTTATATTAAAAGTTCATATCACTACATATTGCATTACGATAATTAAACTCTTATGTGGGAAATTATTAAATTGTACGAGTATATAATTGTATGTACGAGTATTATTTTTATGATTCGAAAGCTTAGTCTTTATATAAGAAATATATTTTCCCGTGCATCGCACGGGTATAGGGGGTGGGCAAAAATACCGAAAAATCGGTATACCGCACTTACCGTACCGGAAAATACCGGAAAATACCGAAATATTGGTATACCGTCATTTTCGGTACGGTATCATACCGTACCGATCTATTTCGGTACGGTAACGGTAAATGTTTTCAAATACCGCGGTATACCAATATAATACCGTACCGACTCCCTACTCAACAATTACTTTTAATTCTTATATATTGTAAAAATTCATTACAATTTTGAAGCCCAAAATTAATACTTAAGTTGGTTACAAATACAAAAAATACAAAAATAAAGGCCAAATTTCTCAAACTCACTATAACCTTATAGGCTTCTACTACGCTAACCTTAATGACTAATGAGTAATGTACAAATGTCAAGAAACAAGTCCATCTTGTTCCAAGAGTTTGCAAATCATGATGGCTGGACCACTAAGTAGCTGACGAGTGAAGAGAGATACACTTATGTGACAAGTGTATCTGCATAGGGATTCCGCGAGTCAAGACACACAACTTTGTCCGAAAGTTTTATTCAATTTTTAAAAAAATTATGAAAATAACTAAATACACAATATCATATTAGGAATAAATGATTTTATATCCATGTTGTTTGAATAGTTTTATTTATGTATGTTAGAGATCACTATTGATTTAATTATATCTATATTGTTCAAGTTATTTTAGGAGAATGTGTTACTTTTTAATATGTGGCATGTTAAACTGCTTAAATATACTAATAATAATTATTGTTCAATATTGAATTGACATCAATAGATTATTAATTGTATTTTGTAACAGTTTAATGTTTGATTTAATATGTCACTAGTAATAATGATTTAGTATATTTCGTTAGTCTATGATAATTTTTTGTATTGGGAGACATGCACACCAATTTACCGATACCGTACCGTTACCGAACCGAAACTTCGGTATACCAAAATACGGTATACCGAAACTTCGGTAAGGTAAAGGTATGCAAATTTTGCATACCGAAAGTTTTGGTACGGCAAAGGTATGAGAAAAAATATAAGGTATACCGTACCGAACCACCCTGACGGGTATAATACTAGTAAAATATATGAGTGAATGATTACTTGAAATTCATTTAGAAATATATATTAAATTTAGCA